TTGATAGTGTTAAAATGTAAGAATTGGCATTCTGTGTTCTCATGAAGTATGCATACTATACTAAGGTACTGTGGGGAATACACCACTCTTGCATTCACCTGCATCTCTCATAGGAAGGGGACACTCGTTCAGTTTTCAACTCCGTTCAGAATCTTTGAGTAAGTGTGCATTCACTATTTTATAGATGTGACTTTCATTTGATTTATTTACTGCATGGTAAAATATGTTTGCTATGTGGTAATTGCGTTCTTTGTTTCGATAAATTAGTACTAGTATCAGTGAACATCACAATAATGTTAATAATGTAGTTTGTGTAAACAGCATGCTTACATTTTTATTTCAGATGTGAGAATAACAGTGCAAAAGAACCTGTTGCAAAGAGAGCCAAAGCAAATAAGCAGCCGACTCGGTCATGGAAACCAGAGACTAATGTTGACATGTTCCACAGGCTCTGAGATTCCTGCCCGCACAAGAACCTGGACTACTCCGTTCTACATTCAAATCATTTTGGCCATGTTTAGCATGAGAATCTAACTCTTTAACTGTGTAATTAACTCAACATGCATGAATAGCATTAGCCCCCCCCCCCGCCCCCCCTTTTAACATTAGTGCTGTCTGTCAATTGATTAAAAAAATTAACTAATCACACATTTTTCTGTAATTAATCACGATTTATTGCATTTTAATATATTTATATTGACAGTTCATATTGAACCTCCATGTAGAAACTACAAAAATTTTATATTTTAAATGTTAAATGTGTTTTACGTATTTAATCTTTTTACTAAGTACCGCATTATTAATGAAGACCAGTATCATCGATACCAATAATGCTACTGATGTCTCCATTAAATGCATTTTCCCCCTCAATTTTAGCCATTAACTATAGACATTCAGCATTACAGTATAACAGAAAGCCATTATTTTTTAACATGTAATAGGCTCTTTAAGTGAACTTAAAAAAATCTTTACATAAAATATAAATTGTGTATGCATAAACTATATAACTAAACTACTTTATTCAAGCTGTCTTTTTAAAACCCAATGCACAAGACACCGATCTGACACGCATCTGATTTTCTCCCAACTCTTTATGGTCATTTAGGACTTTATAACTCATTTAAGACCTTGTTTACAAGGACACTTGTCAAAACCATGCAGTTTTATATCATTGTGTGTGTTTTTGTCCATTGAAGTGCTGCTGGTGCGCTTGACTGAAGCAAGCATTCACTGACTGACTCAGTGAATGCGTGCAGCCAACGCACAGCCTTTCAAACCATACTCCATTTAATAATCATCCTTGTCCAGTGTCTGCGCTATTTCTCACCAGAAGTTATGACTGATAACACTGCCTTCATGCTAGTTTAAACTAGAGTTCCACCTGGTCATATGCTGGGTCTGAGTGGTGACAGTTTTTGGAGTGTCTGGTACTATTCCATGGTGATGATTGGGGTCAGTGTCCACGGTTAGGCCGCTAGAAGCTGTGTCCTGGTTCTCCATTAGTGCAGTCATGCTTAAATGCTCCTCCTTGAGCTGTTCAAGTTCATTTGCTGTTCACAGTCATTTTTCATCATTTTTAACTCCCGCTTCCAGGCTGCTGATGTCACATTGAAGGCCTTTAGCTTCTGCTGACAGTCTAACAACTGCTCTCAACTGCTCATTATCCCTACGCAGATCAGCCAGTTCATTGAGTTCATGAAACTTCCCATTTCTATGGCCTGGGACAGTTGAACAAACCAATTTAGTGTTAGGCTATAAAGAAGCTTGATAAGTGGACCGCCATTTAAAGGGTTAGTTCACACAAAAATGAGAATTGGATGTCATTAATTACTCACCCTCATGTCGTTCCAAACCCGTAAGACCTTCGTTCATCTTCGGAATACAAATTAAGATATTTTTGATGAAATCCTAGAGCTTTCTGACCATCCCTAGAGAGCAATGCAACTGAAATGTTCCCAGACCCAGAAACGTAGTAAGGACATCGGTAAAACAGCCCATGTGACATCAGTGGTTCAACTGTAATTTTGTGAATCTACGAGAATACTTTTTGTGCACAAAGAAAACAAAAATAGCGACTTTATTCAACAATTCTTCTCCTCCTCATCCCATCCTCCGCCATTATCGAAAGTGCAACGACGTATGCGCAAGCATTCCTCTGCTCGTAAACAAAGCACAGCACATGCTTCATGGTACTCTCAATAAAGCATTCCATAATTAGACTCTGGAGCAGTAGAAACCTATACTGTGGATTGGCGAATCACGCTTCTCCGTTTGGCACTATGATGGCCAGTCTAGGTTTGGCGGATGCCAGGAGAATGTTACCGCTGGACTATATTGTGCCAGTTGTAAAGTTTGCTGAAGGAGGGATAATGGTATGGAGCTTCTTTTCCAGGGGTTGGGCTAGGCCACTTGCTTCCAGTGAAGCAAAACCTTAATGCTTCAGCAATGCTTCAGCAAAACATTTTGGATAGAGATGCACCGATCGACCGGTCAGGGACCGGAATTAGCCGGTTTTCTGCCGATTCCAAGCCGGTCTGTTTTGTCGTCACACTTACGGCGATTGATAATGTATTTATGTCATGCCAGATGAGGCTTGCACAGTCTGAGTGAGTGTGTGAGGGAGACTTGTGCAGAAATCAAAACAAATTAACGCAACAGCACACGCAGAAACTTATAGATGCATACTGCGGTAGTTAAAAAAGAAATGTATGATTTAGGTAGGCAACATTGCACGACCAAATTGTTTCAACATGATTGCAATGTGATTTTATACATTAGTAGTTCGATAAACAAGAAGTTAAAATTAAGTGACTTGCATTTTAGACACAATATTGACTCTTTTTGCTCAGTTTCGCTGATGAAAATAGTTCCAATCAAAGCCACAGCAGAACTGTTTTGTATCTCCGAGCAACACAGTGGGGTTTTGTTACTGAATGAATCCATGTTTTTGATCGAATCAAGTGATTCAATGATTTAGTAACCCGTTCATAAAGACAGTAGTCACTTGCCTCGTTTCTGAATGAATCAGCCGTTTGAACGAATCTGTTGAATAAAGGACAAATAACTCACTCATTCAAACAGTCATTTGCCGCCACCTACTGATTTGGTTTCATATTTAAAACTATAATTGCATTTTTCCCAACATTTCTTATTTGTATGTCTAAAAAAATCTTATAAAATTCGTTATGCATTAGAACTTTTGCAGTGTAAATGCATTTATGGCACCTCAGCTTCATCAAACAGGCTGTATAAATACATCTAATGCCACTTCAGATGCAGCTTCTGTTTCCTGCAGTGGAAAAGATGGAGTTTGTTGATACTGATTTCATTTGAATGGTAACAACTCTGCAGTTTCTTATTATTCTAACTGAATTAATTGAAACAATGTAAGAATTTGATGTGAAAGATGACAATGGCCAGTCTAGGTTTGGCGGATGCCAGGAGAATGTTACCGCTGGACTATATTGTGCCAGTTGTAAAGTTTGCTGAAGGAGGGATAATGGTATGGAGCTTCTTTTCCAGGGGTTGGGCTAGGCCACTTGCTTCCAGTGAAGCAAAACCTTAATGCTTCAGCAATGCTTCAGCAAAACATTTTGGATAGAGATGCACCGATCGACCGGTCAGGGACCGGAATTAGCCGGTTTTCTGCCGATTCCAAGCCGGTCTGTTTTGTCGTCACACTTACGGCGATTGATAATGTATTTATGTCATGCCAGATGAGGCTTGCACAGTCTGAGTGAGTGTGTGAGGGAGACTTGTGCAGAAATCAAAACAAATTAACGCAACAGCACACGCAGAAACTTATAGATGCATACTGCGGTAGTTAAAAAAGAAATGTATGATTTAGGTAGGCAACATTGCACGACCAAATTGTTTCAACATGATTGCAATGTGATTTTATACATTAGTAGTTCGATAAACAAGAAGTTAAAATTAAGTGACTTGCATTTTAGACACAATATTGACTCTTTTTGCTCAGTTTCGCTGATGAAAATAGTTCCAATCAAAGCCACAGCAGAACTGTTTTGTATCTCCGAGCAACACAGTGGGGTTTTGTTACTGAATGAATCCATGTTTTTGATCGAATCAAGTGATTCAATGATTTAGTAACCCGTTCATAAAGACAGTAGTCACTTGCCTCGTTTCTGAATGAATCAGCCGTTTGAACGAATCTGTTGAATAAAGGACAAATAACTCACTCATTCAAACAGTCATTTGCCGCCACCTACTGATTTGGTTTCATATTTAAAACTATAATTGCATTTTTCCCAACATTTCTTATTTGTATGTCTAAAAAAATCTTATAAAATTCGTTATGCATTAGAACTTTTGCAGTGTAAATGCATTTATGGCACCTCAGCTTCATCAAACAGGCTGTATAAATACATCTAATGCCACTTCAGATGCAGCTTCTGTTTCCTGCAGTGGAAAAGATGGAGTTTGTTGATACTGATTTCATTTGAATGGTAACAACTCTGCAGTTTCTTATTATTCTAACTGAATTAAATGAAACAACGTAACAATTTGATGTGAAAGATGACACATTTAATAAGGTTAGTGAAAAAATGACAATTTAAGAGGGAAATGAAATCGGTTTTGTTATATACATCAACCTCTTTTAAGGTGATTGTTATATGTAAGAATTTGATGTGAAAGATGACATTTAATAAGGTCAGTGAAAAAATTACAATTTAAGAAACTGTGGAAAAATGACATCTGTTTTGTTATATACACCAACTGCTTTTCAGTTAATTGTTATTTCTACCTCTTTTCCTCTTTTAAAAAAGTATAGATTTTTGTTTGTATATGCTGTCAATAATACTTTTTAGAAAGAAAATCGGAATCAGCAAAAATCGGTATCGGCAGGTCACACTTAAAAAAAAAAAATCTGAATCGCCCAAGAAAATTGCAATCACTGCATCTCTAATTTTGGACAATTCTGTGCTTCCAACTTTGTGGGAATAGTTTGGGGAAGGACCTTTTCTATTCCAGCATGACTGTGCTCCAGTGCACAAAGCAAGGTCTATAAAAACATGGTTTGAATGAGATTGTTGTGGAAGAACCTGACTTACTCACTCAGAGCCCTGACATAAAACCCCATCAAACACCTTTGAGATGAACTGGAATAGAGCCAGGCCTTCTCATCCGACATCAGTACCTGACCTAAAAACGATCTACTAGATGATTGGGCAAAAAAGCCCACAGAAATACTCCAAAATCTTGGTTTTCCAGAAAAAAAGCCTTTCCAGAAGAGTGGAAGCTGTTGCGAAGTGGGGAATGCAATGTTATTATTAAAGTGTGTGTGAGATGTCCCCATTTGTTTGTCCATATAGTATATATGGTATTTTTTCAGTTTGATACATTTCACTGGTTTGATACATTTTTGTACATTCTGACATAAACATTATATCATTCACACTTCTGTAACCTGTGACTGGACACATGATATGTTATACAAAGATAAATGTTGTTAAACTAATTGTTTGTTCATTAGAACAAATATTTTAATGTGCAAATAGTAAATGGTTTCCTGCTAGACAAGTGTTTCCTGATTTACCCTAACATGAAATGAATCAAATCCATGTGCCGTATCTACAAAACATCTTAATGGCTCATTTCCACCGAGTGGTACGGGACAGTAGTAAATAAAAGTAAATAAAGTCTAGTCTAGTAAATAAAAATGTGTTTAAGAGGTCCTTTATCCCAAATGCAATTAAAATCATTAATTCAGCAAGTGTTTAATTTTTTTAAAGGCCATTTTCCACTCAGGTAGACAATAACGTTATTCAATACAATTCAAGTAGCGATTGACGTCATTCTCACGTGGAGAAGAAAGCATGACATTGTCTGTGTATGTGTGAAAATATCAAATTCTAAAATACACTGTTATATTTTTTTGTGTTTGCGCACTCTCGATGTAAACAAACCCAACATGCATGAGCAGCATGGCAAAACAAGTGAAGGAGACACTTCATTCCCCTTGTGTTGTCATTCTCCTTGTAGCATGTGCAAGTGATGATTCCCCATCAACCAGTCAACATTTTGCAGTGAGTCTAGCTCCACTATTTAGATACTGAACTACCGTGAAGGAAGGGTACCAAAAAAGTGGTACGGGTTATTTTGGTACCATTCACAACTTCTGACAATGGAAACGGACATAATTGCGTACCAAACTTTACTGTACTGAACCATACCACTCAGTCAAAACAAGCTATTAAGGGTAATAACTTGCTGATTTAGGAGAAACATATACAAAATAATGGACATGTCAGTCTTAATTTTAGAGGACTCAAGAGCACTCCTAAGTCACTAAGACCAAATCACAAACCATCCTAAAATGGCTGTTGTGGGCAGTCCAACTCAGAACGTAAACATTTTCCATTTAATTCAATTATGTCCTTCTTTTCATGTAGTAACAACTGTTACTACACATTTCAAGAAGTAACAACTGTTCTGGAGTCTAGTTTGGCTTTCTTTCAAGTTTTCAAAACGTCTTGCTATCAGCCATGATTATTCTAAGCTGTGAATTAAAAGGCTGCTTGTATGCATATCCACTAATAGTTTGCAAGATGCAGACACATTGAGGCTGACAATTAGCTGAACATATACTTGTTAATCAGTGACACTTTGTCTACATATTAAAAACTTTATTTGAATATGGCAACATTTTTATTTTAAAATCTTGATTTGAATATGGCAACATGAAACCTCGTTCTACAATATCGCTGTGATTAACTCACTGACAGAGACCCATCCCCTATAATAATCCATAGCAACGAGGTCTGCCTTTTCTCTTATGTTAAGATTGGTCTCGACAGCTTTGTGAATAGGTTTTAAGAGGAAACTGTTACCTAAGAACCTTTACTGCTATTTAGGAGAACTGGTGAGAAGAAATGTTTTGTGAATACGGCCCCCGATTTGTGGCATGTGGGCTGTCCATAACAACCACACTTGTTCTTTAAACTGTTTATTCCTGAAAAAGTACTGTGTATAATGGCAATTAAGGGGTCATGTATGAAATTAGACAATAAACTCAACTGCTTGATTGGCACTAAAGTGTATGCGGTGATCTAAATGTTGCTCTGCAGAGTGTGTAGAAACTGATACTTCATGTTGCCTTCATTTTATTTCACTCATTTGCACCATTTGTTTAGAGTGCCTTGAGTGGATTGATATAAACTTAGCATTTTTCTATGTCTGCAGCACAAACCTCCTCCAACAAAGAAGGCAAACTCTCCTGCTGTATCCACGGTGTCCACCGTGTCTTCTCGTCTACCTCAGCGCTCAGCCTATGGGCAGGGTGCTGGCACAGGTATGGACTCGTTTTAATCAATCATTTCCCTCTTTAATCAATCATTTCCTTCTTGTTATTTCATCAAGAATCACTTTTGTGAAGCTGGACACAAGCAGAGCTATTAAACCTACCGGATTGCTCCTGTATTTGGCCACTTTAGTGAGCAAAAAAAGATCAGTTTTTAGTGCTTCAAATCCGGCTTGTATTATTTTATATATTTTTATAAACTATTATAGTAATTTTTCAGTAATTTTTTTATGTTTTCAGTTTGCATTTTAATTTTAAGTTTCAGTAATTTTGTTTTGTGCCTTTGTCACTTGTAAATCACTTTTACTTCAATGGCTATAACTTTTGAAAATAATGAGATATTGTAACCAAACTTGGCACAGAGGTGTATGGGCTCAGAGCCAGTACACACGGAGACGCATGTAGCTGTGTAGTCAAAATTTTGTATCGTATCAGTATTTCGTCCTGACAGATCCGGCGTTTTGGGAGCCTGAAACCGCTATTTTTTTTAAACCGGGTCCCAGAGTGGATAAATCTGAAAATGACACCCTTGCGTTTTCATGTGTACAGCCAATCCGTATATTTTGTGAAACGATGATGTAATCACCCCATGTTTCGACCCTAGTCAGACACCGCTACGTCACGTAAAAGCAACAACAACAATAGTGGCAGACTAAATGCTTGTGTTCGACTCCATAAATAAATACATTTATTTAATAAACATTTTATAAATATCTGTTTGTTAAATTTATATGACTCCACTCTTGCTCTTGAAGTTGTTGCATTCACCGTCTTTGTCTTCTTTTTGTTGTGTTGGGTTTGTATATAGCGTGCAAGGTTTATGCATGCTCCAAGTCTTCTTCTCCATTTTTAGCGTATTTCTGTGGCAGAATTACATTGCCACATACTGGTCTGGCATGTATAGTATATCGTTTTGAGTCTGTTTCAGTGGTTTCGTGTGTACGCAGATATTTCTTGAGACGACGCCATGTTTACGGAATTTTTTTTTTAGAATGAGGAAAAAAGGATTGGATAGGGAAAGCTCTGGTTCATGTGGATAAGCCCTCAATCTGAAGTCCTTAAAAAAATTGGTGTTTTGGTCACTTGGTGGCGCTATAAAAGTAAAACGTAAAATTATTATAAATTTTTTTAAATGTAGGTTTTACATTTTTATTTTAGCTTTATTTCAATTACCAAAATTACTTTTTCCACGGGTATTTTTTTTTGTTTGTTTTGGTTTGTTTTTGTTTTTTTTCAAGGTAACCATAACATCACTGATCCTGTCCACATATTGGTTTTAATTTCGTCTCACCTCCAATTGTCTCCTTTTAATATTTTTAACATCAGTAAAAAAGTTAAATAGTTTTTGGACTCTCTATAAAACATTTAAAATGCACATTGATGCCATTGAGTTGACAAGCATCCAAACATAAAGTGTAGAGATGGTACATTTTTATTCATATTAAAATAAGGACATCAAAAAAAAAAAAATCAAGGCTCTGTCAATGGTTCAAAAAGCTCTTTCCCCTCTCCCTCCACAGGTATTCCTAGCAGCAAAACCTCATCCACTGGCTCAGTGAGGAGCGTATCATCAGGATACTCTCCATTACGAAACACCCCCTCTGGCTTGACCAGCCCTCCCTCTGAGTAAGATACCAGCTCACTGACCAGTCCTGATATTTTACATTTTCTTCAGGCTGTAAGATCATCATTATGTTTGTGTTTGCAGAGGGAACATGAAACCCAAGGGCATGGTTTCACAAAGCTCGCTGAGAAATCCACCTTCCGGTATAGGGATGAACAAGAAGAAGGTCCAGAATGCAGACAACTGTATTTCAAGGTATGACATTGCAAGTATTGGTGTATGGCACTGATGCACTGTGAAGTGTGGGTGACTTCTTAGGAATTTTTGTGATGAATGCAAATTAAATGGACAGAGAGATCCAGCAACTGCTCCTATTCAATTCAACTTTACAACTGGCACAATATAGTCCAGCGGTAACATTCTCCTGGCATCCGCCAAACCTAGACTGGCCATTAGAGTGCCAAACGGAGAAGTGTGATTCGCCAATCCACAAGTCTCCTATTCAATTCGCCAATTCAAGTCTTTTCCAGTTCATAACATTATTTACAAAAGGTCTTTTAGTCAGTTGTTATTAACCTAACTTCTGGGTTGCAGTTTTGTTTTAAATAGTCCACACTGACTCATTCACATCTTTGTGGTTTTCTTTTGTTAGGAATGACATGAAAAACGAAAATGATATAAATTTTTCCACAATGGGCACCAAGTTTTGCCATGAGTGTGGGACCAAGTACCCTGTGGACTGGGCCAAGTTCTGCTGCGAGTGCGGAGTGAAGCGAATGTACATTTAATAAGTACATATAAAAGTAAGACTGACTCACTGTAGCCGTAAAAACTGAGTATTACTTTCCAACCAACTATTGTACTTTGCAAATCCTTGTGCTGTAGAAATATGTCATTTGTAATCTGTTCCGGGGGGGGGAAGTGCAATATGATTGGTTACTGCTACAAAAGGAGTAGTGTTATTTCCATTAAAGTTATGATTAAAATATTGATATGTTAAATTGACTTAAATTGATCTAGGCCTTAAAATGGGACCATATCACTCATAAAATGTGTCTATTCTAATGTTAATCTTATTGTAGTGTGTCATTTTGAGGGAATTTAAATGCTATAATTTTTATTTAAAATATTTTAAGTTTTTTTTTAGGTTAAAAAGTTTCCCATGTTAAATGCATTGACAACAGTTCTATCGCTGAGCAATCCACTTGTGTATTTCACTTTGTTTTTTTACATTCTTGATTGTTTTGTGTGTTTTTAACAGTGTTGAACAAGAAAATGACTTGTAGAAATCGTCGTCGTATATTTATTAGACATACAATTCATCACATCTGTTCAACCTTGGTTGATCTAACATATTTACACATCAACACAACATACAAAACTTAAAGGTGACCTTACAAAAAAGTAGCTTTACAATGATATTTTATTGCTTCCGAGCCTTTAAGCTTTATCACTGCTGGTCCAGGATGAGAGAGGTCGAGGAGTTGGTGGCTGTTTACCGATCTAAAGCTCATATGCATTTCAAGCATCACTCTGCACCTTGTTATGCTTGTATTACTGCTTCTCTGGCAGTAAATATAGCTTATGAATACCTGCTTTTGGGATTATGACAAATTTTGCCGTTAAAGGATAGAATGGTTAAAATGGATTGAACTTATCCTACATAAATAAAGTGGAAAACATAAATCAGATTGTGTTCTGCTTGATGTGTTTATTTAATTGTTTATTTAGGGCTGCCAATTTAACACATTAATTTAATACAGTTATCTATTTATTAAAATATATAAGCCTTTCATCACTGACCCAGTGTTTTTATAATGCCTATTCAGTGATTTACTCACAATAGTGTCATTAATTATCTTTATTTAGGGGCTTTTCTCAAAAAATATTAATATATGCAATATATGTAGTTATTCATTAAAGCATTGATTAAAATTTTTAATTGATTGACAGCCCTAGTTTTGAGTGTTTTTTTTTTTACATGGTTCTGTTCAATATTTCAGTTTCTCTTTATGAACCCATTGTTTTCCTTGCAGCTACTGGCATGAAGTTGCATATAAAATATATATACAGTGCTGTACTGTTATATATAAAACATATGTGAAGTGAATATGTGAAAAGTTAACAGATAGTTCCTTTATACAGGGGAAGTGACCCTAAAAAGTTCATGTACCATATAAGCCCACCTGTTGATTTTTTTTATATATATAAGAATGACAGGCAGCTTGTTAACAGCAAATGTATGTAAGTCCATGTAGATGTTGCATTAAAATGCTGTTTAAGACTAAAGATAAATAAAGATGGTAAAAGAAAAAGGCAAGGATTTTCTTGGCAAGTGTTGCTCACAAAGATAGATGCAGTAGAACAGTACAAATTGTTATCAACCATGTTAAATAGAACCATTTCAGTAGCTCCTTAAGTCAAGGTTTAATAATTATAAACTAAAAATATCACTCCTTAAGAGAATTTTTAAGAAACAGCTCTACTGACACTTTACAAAACTAAGAAAGAACCTCATAATAAAAGCATTAACTGAATTCACAGTTAATGTGTTTGGAACACATTCAGTTCAATTTTTTACAAAAAAAAGTTTGAAAAACACAGTGAGAGTGTAATCTTTGGCTTTACTGTAAGGCTTTAAGAAAATGTGTAAGACTTGGATAAGGTCACTTCCCAAAAAAAGAAGCATGTGAAACAACGAAGTTGTAACTTGAGGCCTAGAAAATGTATATAATATAGGCTTTGAAGCCAACTTTTTAGTTTATGAGTTCCATTTGCTGCACCCTTCGTATTCAAAGATAACAATCCGAAGTACAAAGTTTTGAAACATTTTCATGCATAAGTAGTATGCTTCTAGTTAGCACATATTTTGCCATAAAAAGTTTTTCTTCAGTCAAATACTGAATAGTGTGAATGACACATGGTGCGTCCAGTTACTTCTTCATATTCTGTACATTAATTTGTTGTAATAGAGCTACGAGATGGATGGAGGCCAAGTATTATATACCGGTTTGCTCTGAAGTCTTCCCACGCTCTGGAAGGTCTGTGCTGAGTGACAGATACGCATTGTATTGTTCAAAGTGTCTCTGTAAGTTGGCGAGAATGTCTTTCACTCTGCAAGGCTTCCACTTTCGTATTTGCTGTTCTCTGAAGTCTTCCCACGCTCTGGAAGGTCTGTGCTGAGTGACAGATAGGCATTGTATTGTTCAAAGTGTCTCTGTAAGTTGGCGAGAATGTCTTTCACTCTGCAAGGCTTCCACTTTCGTATTTGCTGTATTGGCTTATTTGTCCCCTCTCTCTGTTCATCCACAAATGAAACAAAAAGGAGGTTTAAATAAATGAAAATGATGTAAGAGAAAACTGAATGTGAGGAAACAGGTTGCTTCGATTACCTTTCCATGGCACCAACATCTCAAGGATGCATTTATTTCTTCCACAAGTTTATATAACACAACTTTCAGTTGTCCATTTACATTATCTGACTCCCTCTCGATTCTGCTCAGTTTTCCGTTAACCCTGCAGATTTTTCTGTGGATGGACTGTGTCTGTGAGCGGATCAGAAACAAATCAGCGAATGAGTAACAACAACGGAGGAGAAACTTGTATCTTCAAGCAGGGTTGTTAAACTAACAACTGTGTCTATGTGCTGTGAACAGCAACCAGCTGACCCTGAACTTCATATGGTCTGGAATGAGTGGGAAGGGCAGGTCAGAACATTTACAAAGCAAATCTGCAGAATATTAAAGTGAAAGAACCAAACAGTCACATTTTAGTGGACGTGCCTTTACTGCCACATATAAAAGGCTGTAAAGTATGAGAAACAACTTTTGCTCTTTCAGTTTGAGAGAGAAATATGACTAACATATGAGCACACTCTTGAACAGATGGGGTTTGTTTAGTAGACAAAAAAGTATAGACATTTTCTTACATTTTTTGGCTCCTTCGACATGCTGACATTTCTTACTGTGCAGTTTGAATGGAGTTGTTCAATAATAGCCTCCTGAAAAGTAAAAATAAAGTATTATATATATATAATTGATGCATTATTTTCAGTAATCTTTATTTCAAACGTTTCCCTATTTACTTGATATATAAATACCTATATAAATTTAGTTAAACTTCAGTTAATTTTTAAAGTAAAACACAGTAAAAATGGTTATTGTGAAATAATGAATAAGTAGCTTACATCGAAAACATCTCAGGTTACTTATGTAACCATGGTTCCCTGAGTAGGGCGCGTCCTCTAGGGGTCGATATGGGGAACAGTATACTCACGCCACCATGCTGAGGGGAGTGCATGCCAGAAACCTAGGCGAGCACTAAGTACCAACTCTACCATAGCCATGGGAGTTGCCCCAGGACGTTAGATGGCTGTCCGTGACATTATCCCCTACGGCCAAAGGCCTAGGCTACATACCCCAAAAAACTTACCTGTTAGGGCCAGACTCCTGCTTGGAATCAGGAATAGATTCCTTTAAGGGGATACGACCAAGAGCTTAGCATCATACTAAGGCCCAATCCCAATTCTACCCCTTAGCCCTTCCCCTTTCCCCTACCCCTCCGTTTCGCACGTTCACATGAAGGGGTAGGGGTGTCTCGATTCTCTCTTGGTTGGAGGGGTAGAGGTAAGGGGAAGGGCCAGATAGCCCTTCAAATGAAGATTTTTCAGGACCACACTTCAAATGAAGGGGTATAAATTATCTCAGCGTAAACCGGCTTCAGCGGCAACATGGCTGCCCGAGCAAACAAAAAGACACATAAATGTAAGCATTTTTGGCATTAATAAAGTTACTATGAAGCCATAGAACCAACCTAAACATCATAGGTTCAGCATAGGAGACTGTAATGCAGGAAGTCCCTACCAAACCTCGGTCAGGTGGAGAGATGGTGGTTACAGGGGAATTAGGAAGGTGAAGATATGGGCACGTATTTATGGTCACGTTACTCAAAGAAATGTTTGCAAAAAATCGCTAAAGTTGGCTAACATCATATTACAGACTGGACGATAGTGCCACAACATATTTTCATGTCTGATCAGGGCGATAACCACCGTAGACATTGAGGAGGGCTAGTCCCCCCAATAATTATAAATCGCTAAACCATTTTCTCAAATATTGCCAATTCAAGAGAGAGAGAGAGATGAAAGTTGCGTGTATACTTGTCTGTGCGTTTCTCTTTTTAGAGTGAGTTTACGTACAAAGACTTCACGTGCACACTTACCATAAGATGGATTTTAAAGATACCATCCTAAGGGGCTCTCGTGGCACTCTGAAAGAGCAGCCCATAGATGGAAATGGTACATCACCAAAACAAACTGTTCGAGAAGCCATCAGCTCGATCTATGGTAAAATGCTGGAATGGCTAGCAGTAAGTTACCTAGCTGAGGGAGCAACACACCCAGCTCTCAGTCGAGAGGGGGCTCGACCTACAGCATGTTCGTTAGAAATCAGAAGGGTACGCGTACTGCAAGCTCAGCCAAAAACTCAGCGCACCAGGGAGGCAGAGAAAGGGCCTAGTTCGTCTGATGTTGCCAGTTCCAGGTGCTCTGGGAAAACAGAGAACTTAACTCTCACGTGAGAGGAGAACTCCGAATTCAGAAAGGAGTAGCGTGCTCATAGGCAACCCTTTGATAAAGGGGACAAAAACTCAGCACACCAGGGAGGCAGAGGAAGGGCGTAGTTCGCCTGATGTTGCCGGTTCCAGGTGCTCTGGGAAAAACAGAGAACTCAACTCTCACGTGAGATGAGAACTCCGAATTCAGAAAGGAGTAGTCTGCTCATAGGCAACCCTTTGAAAAAGGGGAGCACTGCTAAACACTACCACGAGAACACGGAGCGAGGAATCCAACTCCTCAGAAAGGGAGAGAATTCAAA